AGTCACACACTAAGCATGTTGCACAGATGGTATTAGAACTCATGACTGGTGGACTACAGATTTTGTTATTTTCCGTACCATAATCTATTCTTTCCCTTAAAGTATATGTAGCCAATTCACTTCTGATGGACTTTTTAAGTTATTTCCAATTTTCACATTTATAAACAATTTTGCAGTAGACCACCTCATTTGTGTGTATGTTTATTTTTTTCTCCTAAACATTCAAAATTATTAACTTCAAATTAATTGCCTGGAAGGGAATTGCAGGGATTAAAAGCTTTTTAGAATGCTAAGATTTCTGATAGATCATTTCTAATTGCTTTTAAGAAAGATTATATAAATTCACCTTCCCATTGGTCCAACAATGAGTTGGGGTTGTGGGGGGGAATATATATTAAAATTTATATTCTATCTGCTTTAAAAAAAATTTTTTTACTGATGTATAGTTAATACACAATATTATATTGGTTTCAAGTACACAACACAATGGTTCAACAGTTATACACATTATTAAATCCTCACCCCAACTAGTGCAGTTACTGTCAACATAGAAGATGTTACAGAACCATTGGCTGTAATATCCATTCTGTACTACCATCCCCGTGACCAATTTATATTATGATTGAGGTTTTTCTGTCCCTTTATACCCCTCACTCTCCCCACCCACCCACCCCAACCCCTCCCCCATGATAACCAACCACCAGTCACTTTTCAGTGTCTATGAGTCTACTGCTATTTTGTTCATTTTGTTTTGTTTTGTTTTTAGAGTCCACAAATAAGTGAAATCATATGGAATTGTCTTTCTTCACCTGGCTTATTTCACTGAGCATATCCTCTAGTTCCATCCATATTGTTGCAAATGGCAGGATTTCTTTCATTTTTATGGCTGAATAATATTTCATTATATATATGTACCACATCTTCTTTATCCATTCATCTATTGATGGACACTTTGGTTGCTTCCATAACTTGGCTATTGTAAATAATGTGGCAATAAATGGGTGCATTTATCTTTTTGAATCAGAGATTTTGTTTTCTTTGGGTAAATTCCTGTAAGTAGAATTACTAGATATATGTATCTTCTCAAAGCCTTTGTTATTCTGCTTTCTATTCTGGATCTTCATGAGTTTCCCCTTGGAGTTAAGGAACATGTATGCTGGAGCAAAGCTGTGAGAAGAGTCATTCCTTACCCCCCCTCCCACGCACCCCCACCATCACTTGTTGCCTCAAGCCTGTCTTATCACCTATAAAGAGTTAAAATACTTCCTTCCCTGCATTATTGTAAGCAGCAAGGTCATGTGAAAATGTCAGTCATGGTACCTGGTACTAGTAGGTGCTCAAAAAATGTTCCTCCTTCCTTTTTATTCCTGACATAGTGCTTGGTCCCGTGCTGTACATGCAGAAGGTACCTATAGAGAAAGCAAATACTTGTTGTGTAAGTGAAAGTAGCCCAGACAGCATTAGAGTATGTGTGGGTATGTGTGTCTGTGTGTGCCTGAGCAAAAGCCATTGCTTGGGGTCAGTGGCCCAGCAGCCTGACCTATAACACTAGATTCCAATTGCCTGAAATGTTTCCAGAATCCAAATGTCTGAGTCTGTAGGCTCCATATATCACTAGTTTCATCATCAAAATGAATAGGTAGGAATTTAAGTTTTCAGTTGAGGAAGATTACTTTCTCAGGAGAGCTCTTTCCAAGCTTCATCTAACAATAGAGAAAAACAAATTCCATAGTAAGCTAGCTGTGAAGCTGTGTTCTCTGATTGGTGGGTTGGTCAGAATTCCCTGCTGCAGTGGGCTTTGCCTAGTCTGGCCTTCCCCGCACTTCCCTGTGAAGTGTCAACATCAAGCACACACTCTTTCCTCAGGTGGCAGAAACCATGGTGCCCCACTCCACAGTCTCCCCCTGTGGCTTAGTGTGGGGCCCTGGAGGCCCTGAGCATTGCTATCTTGATCATTTCCCCGCTTGCTGTTTCTGGCAACCCTACAGCTTAGTCACAGCTGCTTTTGCAAGCTGTTTTTCTTATTGTTTCTAGAGTACCAGCAGTACTCCCCCTTACACCACCCTCCAAACAAAAGGCACAGAAGAGAAAATTTTGAGTGTCGAGGGTAAATTTTAAGTGCCAAATGCAAAGTTTACCTGGAAAAGTTGGCATCTTACTTCTACTGATGGCTTTTCATGATGTTTGTTCTTCCAGTGCAATCTACTATTTGTTTCCTTTTTGGAAAGGGAAATTTGCTTGATCGCTGTATATCTCATTAGCTTCTCCTTGAGAAGCCGGGCTTACCTTGAACTAAGGCCCAGTGAGTGCTTTTATTCTTTTTTTAACAAGTGTCTAGGAAGCCGGATGGGGTAGTGCTTGGGCTTTAGACAACTGGGTCGTCTCCACTCTGCCATTTACCAGTTGTGTACTTTGAGACAAGGGACCTAACCTCCTTGAGCTTTTTGCATTTCCTTATCTGTACGATTAGGTTAGAACTGTGTGAGATCATGTGTGAGTGTAAATGAGAGATGTATGCAAAGCAACCTGCACATGGCAGGTCCTAATGTAGGTTTCTTGGGCCATTCAGGTCACAACCCCAACCCCAAGTCGCCTGGGATGAATGATGGCTGGTATCAGTCATCTGAGACAGTGACTGACTGGACAGAACCACTGCCAACTATATTTTGTAGATTTAAAGCAGTAAGAACAATGTCAACTTCCATCGTTCTCCAGTACCTTAAATTGTTTTCTTACTTCATTAAGCTGACTTAAATTTAAAATCACAATTCCTCTTGACTTTTGCTAATACTTCTTTTAACTTGACCAGTGGGGTCATAACTGGCTAAAGTATTAGAGCCAATCAGATCTGTGCGCATATATCCGAATGCGGACCTGTACAGACGTGGCCAGTGGTGATCAGGAGTTAGGTCACCAGCAGGAGTGTGAAGGCCCACGTTGAGTCCCATGCTGTCTTGCTTCAGAGTTGCTTTGTAACCAGTGATAGGGCGTGTTACCACTTCCCTTTATGTTTGTCTTCTCTTAACAGAGAACTTTAAATAATTGTTAATTAACTTTTTGAGATGTTGAAAAACAAAATGCTGCCAACTTGGGAAACAATAGTCATTACTGTGAAAGAGCTTCGTGTCAACCGGAGGATGGGGGCCTCAAGCTGCCCTCCCAGTTCTGGGTGTTTACCCCGAGCCTTCTGCTCCAAGTGTTGCTGCAGAGCTGGGGGAAACATGAAATGTAGACATTAACAGTACCCATCAATTTTGGCCTCACGCTGTGAGCTCATTCAAAGTCATCTAGGATGCTCATTGTTTGAATGGGTCAATATCTGAAATCAGACGGAAAAAAAAGCCTCTTGAATATGATACTTATTAATGTAAGGAAAACATTTCACATAACTAAAGCATTAGAATGTAGAATCAGTTTATATTAGATCTTTCTACTCTTTCTTCATTGTTTGTTTCTGTTTCTTCCCCAGTAAAAAATTAGAGACCTTTTTCTATCTACAGCCTCTTTGTGAAACCTTACATGAGACTTAATGTAAGTCCTGATTTTCTTACCTTTAAAATATAGATGGAGGTCCCTTCCTGCTTTTTTGTATACTTACACAGAATATAAATATCTGCTGATATGAAGAAACATTAAGACAAAACAGAGTTATTTAAGCTTCCCAGGAGCTGGGGAATCATCCATGTATAATATGATTCTTTCAAACAAGTTCTCTCAGTATTGAGTTTTTCCTTTCCCCAAGAGCTCTATAAAAATAGTGTTTTCTTGCCAGAGACATCAAGGCCTCAGAACTACTGCCCTCCTTCTATGAACCTATTATATGGTTTGTGTTTGGCTTAGGATCTTTTTAACAGACAACCCTGGTCCACTCTGACAGGCTGACTCAGCAGCGCTCCTCCAGCACATTCCTGCTCTTCTCAGGATTGAAGTGCCCTTTCCCTGGCAGCTGTGGGGCAGGCTGGGAGCTGGTACTGCTTCTCCTCTCCTGTATACATGCAGGGGAAGAGACACTGCAACATTGCTTCTTTCTCTGTTCTACTGCAGATGCTTTCCCGAGCATTCCCTAATTCTCCAGCTTAAGCCAAGTGAGTCTTACATTTGTTCACGGCCTAGTCAAGGACCACTCAGGGCGTCTCAGTGATGTTCATCTCCCTGCCCTCCTCGCACCAGTCACCCACACTATCCCCACGCATCTTTCCTGCCCTGTTCCCCATGTCACTGTCTTATCCTCTCATCACCCCCTCAAGCTCACCAGAGATACTCTTTCCTTGAAATCCTGACGTAATCCCAAAGGTTGAGGAGTAAGAGTCTAATGTTTTATTAAGGAAAATTTCAATTATATACAAAAGTAAAGACCATAGTAAAGACAAAGTAAAGACAATGAAGTTCATGTACCCATTACCCAGCTTCACTAATCTTGTTTCATCTTCTCCCAACCCTAGATTATTTTGCAGAAAGTCTCTACACATCATTTTCATTTCTAATTTCCTTTTTTAAAAATCCCCAACTCCTCTGTTTACTTGAGAGAAGGGCCTAAGTGAACTCTCATCCAAGTTTCATTTCATTCAGCCCAGCCACCTCTCTGATCACCCAAGCCACCAAGCTTTTGCTCTTAAGGAGAGGTCCACCCCCTGTTCTCCCACAATCCCTTTCTGGTAGAGCATCTGACAGAAGAATACGATCTGGTTCACCTGCCTGCTGAGGGTTCCTTTAAAAGTGGCATCTTAGGTGGGAAGGGAAGGCCATCTCAGACATGAAGGGGACAGGGTAGGCAGAGGTGCCTTACTCACACCTCCCTGTCGAGGAATAAGGTGTGCTTACTGTTTTTGTTCACAATCAGCCACTGCAGACTAGGTGAGATGAACTCCTGCAGTAAAATGGCAAGTGTGATAGCTAGCTGTGGCCCTCCTTCCCACCCCACCGCCCCTGCCCTGGTAACAGGTAAGGCTGTCCTGCCAGGAGGGACCTAAAGGCTTGTCCTGCCCTGTCTCCATTTGCAGATGCAGTGGCAGAATGTGGAGCACGTTGGTGACCAGAGCCCCTATGTCACCTCTGTCATTCTTCACATTAAGCAGAACGTTCCCATCATCCGTGACAACCTGGCTTCCACGCGGAAATACTTCACTCAGTTCTGCATTAAATTTGCAAAGTAAGTTCTGGAACATTCTGATCATTGGGTTGAGTGCCATACTTACCACCAGCATGCTTGCAATCCAGGTGTCCCCAGTATCCAGCTGGGGCCATTCTAGCAACAAACTAAATTTTTGTACTCCAAAGAAGCATAGTAAAACTAAATCTGCTACTTACCAAATAGATAATGGTAACAGCAATGCAGTCAGTCATCAACCGCATCAAGACAAACAGAAATGAGTTGGGGAATTGTGTTATTATTATCCCCCCAGTTTGGATAATTAAAGTTATTTTTCAGTGATATCATGTATGATTTCATCTCACCAGTAACTAGACTATAAGCTTTTTTAGGAAAGGGACCATCAGTTGTTTCTTTGGAGCCTTCTCTTCCTCCATCCCTATAGGACTTGTTACTGTGGCCACCAGAATTTATCCACTTTGGACATCCTTGAGTCCAGGGAAGGTACTAGAAATGGGGAAGAGCAAGTCAGGGAGCTCCATTGCCAAAGTAGATGAAGTGAGCACTGTACTGCATGCCTCCTGCCACATCATTGTGTGTGGCTGTTTCTGGCTTGATGTTTTGGAGCAGAGAAATGGTTTGGCCCTTCGCCAGTGAGCATCTGGCCGTAGCACTGTTTCTCTGGAGACCAGGCAGCGTAGAGGGTCAGTGCCGCCTCTGACCAGTTATCGAACAGGCGTTTTGGCAAACTTCTCAGAGAAAGGCTTCAGGAAGGTCAGCCCCGGCCAAGCTACTGTATTTAGGTGGTTCTCATTCAAGTCCCAAAGGGCAACTTAGGACTACAAGTTTCTGTCTTCCCCAAATCTCTCCCATTTTGTATTCAAATACAGCTTTCTTCTCCCTCACAAACAAATCCCTGGGGAGCAGCAGTTAAGGAGTGGCCGGTGGTGCTAGCTTCAGTTTCCAGTGTGTCAGGAAATGATAGAGTGGACTCTCCAGGGAGGCATCAATGGTTGCAGTACTGTGGATGAACCTTCACTCTCTGGGTGCCCATTAGGGTATGTGAAAAGCATCACTGATAAATCACCTTGTGTTACTCCCCCACAGCCCGTGATAGAAGAGTCACTGAAAAACTTACTGTGGCCAGAAATCTCCAGTGTGGCTGCACAGGCATCTGACTGAGCTAACATTAAAATGAATGAGGGGCCCATTTACTGAGCTCTTCCTGGTATCAGCCTCACAATCTCTCCGAGCCCTTTAATTTTATAACTAAGCTCATACTGGGTGAGCTGGGAATAGGATGCCCTTCTCTCACATCTGGAAAAGTTTAACCTATGATCTAGAAAGTGGTTTTCTGATTTAATCCATGGTACACTCTCCTCCTTGTAAAATCCCAGCCAAAGACTGAAACCTCAGACGGGGCGCTGTGAGAAGACCCAACCCCAACCAAGAGCAATAGCTGCCACTACCTCAAGGGGCTGGAGAAGCCCTTGGCAGTTTCCTATCACAGTGCTGGGACTTCTTCCCCAAAGGCATGTCCCTGGTCCCCACATTTTCCCCACCCCACCCGATGTAGACTAGCACACAGAGCCAGTTCAAGGGCAGCACCGAAGCTACTCTATTGAAAAGTAATTTAGGTTATAACCTGTGTGTGCTGTTGTGATTAGTCATGAATTCAGTCTCATGTTACTTGTTTGGCCTGGCTCTGCTTTAGAGAAAGGAAGAATCCCTCCTGAATAGTCCCTTGTGCTCCCTCTCTCCTGATCAGCAGGCCTTCCCCTAGACCTGATCTCTGGAGTCTACGTTTCTTTCCCTCTGACTGCCTTTCTTATCGCACCAATGCAGAGTCATAGATGTTTCCTTTCTCTTCCTTTTGGTCCCTGGAGCAACAACAGTCTTTCCTGTTTAGACATCAAGATCACTCCCCTGACTGAAACTACTATTTTAACACAAGCAACTTCCTTCATCACTATGCTGATTCTCCTCCATTCAATAATGGAGATAGTAAGACAAATCCCTTAATAGTTGTTGGGAGGATAAAATGAGAAGTCACCTGTAAACTTCCTGGTAAAGTGCTGATACCAAGCTGGCATTCAAGAGGTGGTAGCTGCTACCATTATTATTTGCTGAAGTCATTTGAGTACCTGCTACATAGAATGAAGCATTTTAGCTTAATAGGTGTGGTCCTATCTTGATTTGCCTCCCAGTCAAGTGAAGGGAAATAGACATGTAAGTCATAAAGTCAGTTATATGTTAGGTAGAGCTCTGTGGACTCGATAGGGCATAGTGGAGGTGACTGAGGAAGAGCTTAATAGGAGAGATTTCGCTGAGCAGGGTCTGAGAGCTGTGTGGGTACTGACCACAGGGGTGTAGGGGAGTTAGTTCCAGGCTGAGAGCACAGTGTAAGCAAAGGCACAGAGGCGTTATATAGCCTCAGAATCATGGGATCTGCAGTCAGCTCAACCAGGAGAAAGCGTAGAGTGCCAGGATTCAGCATGATGAGGCTGGGGAAAAAGTCAAGACAATGAAGGAAGGCCTTGTCAGCAGCCAGGAGAAGAGTTTTAATCAGGGAAGGACCCTGAACACATTTGTGTTTGAAACAAATCCTTTTGGAAGCTGATGGATTAGAAAAGAAGACAGGCAGAAGACCAGTTAGGAAACAATTCAAAGAGCTCAAGTAAGACAGAGGAGGGCAGCGGCAATGGGGATGGTCAGGAGGGCAGATGTGGGAGTTCAGGGAAGAGCTGGGAACTAATTGGATAATGGGGCAGAAGGCGAGGAAGTTGTCTTGGGTAACCCCCAATTCTGACTTGGGTGCCTGTGGAGATGAGATCCATTCCACTGAGCTTGGATTCTGGGGTGGGACTGAACCTTGGATATGCTGGAATGGAGATACCAGTGCCATACCAGCAGGGTGGCCAGTACATCATTAGGTATGAATGGGCACAGTGCACAAGAGAAGATGTGGACAGATCAAGGGATCAGGTCACAAGCCTGAGAGCAGCACTTGAAGAGTGAGGAGAGGAGGGCGTTAGCTGGCCTTTGTCTCCACCTCCAAACCCTGCTTACTGCTGTCATTCTGCCACTGGTCATGGGAGCCATGTTCTCCTGGTCAGTTCACTCTGGATCTGCCCTTGATTATAGGCATTTCTGGTTCCCACACTTGCTGCTCTTTTGCACCAGGGCAACTCAGCTTTACCTACTCAGGCCTCTGCCAATTTTTTTCTAAAAAGCCCTCCTGACCTATTTGAATTACATTCTCCCTTTCCTCAAACCAGCTCCTTTAGTCCACCTAGCCAAGGTTGCCCTTCAGTCCCCAGTAAATTTTTTAGAGACCATGATTTTGTTTCCTGACCTGACAGTTGCTCCCTTAGCCATTACTTCCTACTATTTAGTGCCCTGTAACTACCTCATGTATAGTCCACTGTCATATCTGTTAGGGTGTTGTCAGCTACTAGTCATAAAAGCCCTGATGCAAACTGACTTAACCAGAAGGCGAATTTTTTCTTTCATACAACTGGAAGTCCAGAAGTAGGACAGATCAAGAGATGGTTGATTGGGGGGTCCAGAATGTCATTAAGGGCCCAGGTTCTTTACTCTGCCTGCTCTCCTTGGGGCTGGCTTCCTCCTTAAGCTGCTGGTAAAATGGCAGATCTAGAATTATATCCAGATACAAGAACACCCTAAAGGAAAAGTGAGAGTCTTGCCTGGCCATGCAGTGAAGCCCTTCCATCCAGGCTGATTGGGCTGGCTCAGATCACATCCCCTTCTCAGGACCAGCAGCAGTCACCACAGGAACACTGGGCTCTGGCTGAGGCTACTTAGATTCACCCTGCATCCCAAGGCCACATGTGCCTAAATAAAACCAGGGCTTGGCTTGGAAAGAAGAAGACTGCAATGGATGCTGGTAGGCCACAGTAGTATCTTCTTCGATTCTCCATTTCTTATAGAAGGAAGTGGGGCCTTAAGAAAATAGTTTCTGCCATTCTTTATCGAATAGACAGTAAGCCTAATTTGTGACTTCTTTTTTATACACAGCTCCTTCATTCCCAAGTTCATCACCCACCTCTTCAAGTGCAAGCCAATTAGCATGGTGGGAGCAGAACAGGTAAGATGAACTTGGCATAGGGCCTTTTCCTATGGCTTCTGTCACAGATCAAACACTTATCTTTCTAGTTCAGATCTACTCTGGAGAAGTAAAATTTCTGGTTTCCCCTGTTTGGGGACAGAATGATGACCTGGTAGCTTAATTCATTTATCCATTTATTTAAAAGATTTTTCTGAGCGCCTGCTCAGTACCCAGGCATTGTTTTAGGTATACCACAGTGAACAAGACAGAAAAGATCTTTGATGTTTACACATAAGAAGAGAGAGATAATATATATGTTAACAAATAAATTAGAAGATAACTTTAACTTAAGGATGAGGGTATATGAAACTTGGTTATGTGAACAAATAAATGTCTGAGGGGCATGAGGGAGTAATGGTTTTCCACTCGATGGTCAGAGAAGACTCCTCTGGGAGCTGGAGCTCGAGGAGGACTAGGAGAAAAGTGTCCAGCCAGAGGGAGCAGCAAGGGCTCCGATTATTTTGGATCCCACTGTGACTGGGGCAGAGAAGAGCAAGCAAAGAAAGGCTAATCTTTTTGGTGCTGAGAAACTCTGTTCACCTCACAAGAAGCCTTTCTTGATTAACTTCACTCCATTCACTTGATTTCTGTGCTTCAAGACATCTCTTCACAGACTATATCACCTCAGCACTGGTGAGTTGAATCATATGCCACAGCAAAGCCACCTCTTTTCAGCTACCACCTGTTCAGACCATCTGAAGTTTGAACAGCTTGAGTTTGGAGAACAGTTTAAGCTACTCAAAAAAAAGAAAAAGAAAACAAAAACAATAATATTTAGCCCCTAATGTTTTAAAAACACCTACTTAGATGCAACTCATTCATATGCTGATCATAAATGATTCTCATATATTCAGTAAAATAAATCCTGTCTAAGCCTCTATGTTAGCAACACTTAACCTATTTCAGTTACTTTTTATATCTGAAAGAACTCAGACTACATTTTTAAGTAAGAGCATCATAACTCTGCTCTTCCACCAAATTAGTCAGCTTGGTAGAGGCCCAGCTGTTCCCAGCTCCGTGACTTGCCCTCACACCAGGCCCGTGGCTGTGCTGGCTTGAGTCATGCCTCAGGAAGGTGGCAAGTTGGCATGGGCCCAGTGCCTCATGGGTCTCTCAGAAAGCGTCAGAGTTGGAGATGTCATAGCTGGGAATATCAGGAATCTCTTGAATCTGATAAATACAGCATGTTTTATACACATTTTGTAATTGGGTGGCCTTTCCAAGTTATGAAAAGGCAGTGTGGTGTGGGTGTCAAGTCATGGACTCCAGAATCACAGAGGTCTGAGACTAAATCCCGTCTCTGCAATGTAGCAACCATTTGTCCCTAGACAAGTTACTTAACCTCCTACACCTTAGTTCCTCATCTGTAAGATAGGAATAGTCATTGTGCCACCTCCCCAGATAGTTGTGAGAATTAAAAGGTAATGCATATTCAGTGCTTGACACAACATCTGGCCCATGGTAAGGCCTCAGCAGATGCCAGCCCTTACTTACGTAAGCTTCCGCAGACCAGGGTCACGTCTTTGTTTCTGCTCTCAGTGCCCATCTCCCCACATAGTAGCTCCTAGTCAGTGCTTGCCACAGACCAGTTCTAGCCAGAATCAAAAGTATTGTCTCAGAAACTTCCTGGGAGGTTGTGCAGACTCAGACACTGACTGACTGTGTCTGACTTTAGACTTGCAGTGTTTTGCAGTCTTGACTCTGGCATGTCATAAGCATAGAACTAATTGTCTCAGGAGAATAATGCCTCAACATGTTGTCTGCAGTTTTATCAGCACTGCATATTTAATAGCATATTATTATATTTACTGGGAATTGATTCTGTTTACCTCGCTGTCCTGTGTAATCAGAGGGGATGTGGAATAGTTATGATTCATGTATCTGAGAGAAGCTTTGGAGTTCTCCGTTCCTGGGTTTCTGTCTTCAGGCTCGAAGAAGCCACTGGACCACAGAGTTAACTTATTGGGAATGTGTTTTCATGAGTTTATGCTTTGCCCAGGCCTTGTTAGCTGATTTAGTATCTCGTAACCATATTTTCATTTCATCACATAAATCCAGTATCATATTCATTTTCCTCAGATTTTGTCCTTTTTAAAAGAATGTTAAAATAATCAGCTCAGACTCAAGGCCCATATCTTCAGAAAAGTATCAGTGTGGCCTCTCTTGGTGATGTGGATGAGAAAATCATCTGTGAAACTATAGTTTTACTTTCTCAGACCCCAGGCAAATAGGAGTGGGTGATAGGGGAGTGAGAGTCTCAAAAGGCCCAGCCAAGGGGAGGCCATGGGTGGAAATTAATGGGCAGTGACCCTTGAGGGATTGATTCCCAAGTGAAGTTTAGGTTTAGCTGGGTCCTAGTTGCCCTGAGTATCTGGACTTAGAAACCCAAGCACATAGCTGGGAGGCATGATCACTCAGGCAGCAGAACCACAGGAATCCAGAAGTTAACACAGATGTCTCAGATTGGAACAGATTCTGCCTCAAGTCTTGTAGTGGCTGTAATCCAAGCTTGAGAAAAGCTGTGAAATCCAAAACTAAGATTTAGCCTGATATCTGCTGCCTATGCTTTGCCACCAAGGTACTAGATCCTAAATTTAGATTATAGTTTAATATTGTACTGAAAAAGGAGACATTTTCTTGGTCTTTATTCATTTCCTGATTACTATATAAAGTGATTACTATGTATCTTTGGGCCACAGGGTCCTCTTGAGCAATTGCAAGGGCACATGGCACTGAACCATAACTATATTTGTAAAGCTTCTTGCTAGTTTATGATTTTCAGAGAATCTTGTGGAATTTGCAAGGTCATTAATTAGTCTCATGGTCATGGTATCTATGACTATAGAAACAGAATCCGTTTGCACAAACTTATCATAGGGAAACAGCACCACATGGTGTAGGGAAAAGGGCCCTGATGCCTTGGGGTCCAGTCCCTCCTTTGCTGTTAATGGTCCCTATGATCATGAGCAGCTGCTTTCCTGCTCTAGGCTCAGTTTCCTCATGTGAAATAAGAGCACTGACTCTCACACACCTTCTAATAAGATCTATCATATTATGAAGTTGAAAATATTTTGAGCAATATATTTCATGTCTGTGAAATTATTTTCTTTTGTATTTTTATACCATATCAACTTTTTTAATTGTGGTAAAATATAAATTTATCTTTTTTATTTTTTTGAGAGGGCATCTCTCATATTTATTGATCAAATGGTTGTTAACAACAATAAAATTCTGTATAGGGGACTCAATGCACAATCATTAATCAACCCCAAGCCTAGTTCTCAACAGTCTCCAATCTTCTGAAGCATAACGAATGAGTTCTTACATGGTGAACAAGTTCTTACATGGTGAACAAATTCTTACATAGTGAATAAGTTCTTACATGGTGAACAGTGCAAGGGCAGTCATCACAGAAACTTTCAGTTTTGATCATGCATTATGAACTATAAACAATCAGGTCAAATATGAATATTCATTTAATTTTTATACTTGATTTATATGTGAATCCCACATTTCTCCCTTATTATTATTGT